TAGGTTTTGGAAACTTCCCAGACAGCTGCAAAGGAAGGATCAACCTATCACAACAGGCATTATATACATTGATAATGGTATGCCAATAAAATAATGAGAAAGTGGAAGCATTTCTGAAGAGATATATAGCCCAAACTGATCACAATGATAGGGAGCTTAGAAATTGAGTTAGTTTGTTAAGTCTTATTTCCCCATGATTTTAATTCACTTCTACCACTGTAGCGGAGATACCACTGTACTTCAATTGTGGTCATAAATTAATACCTTGAATTTTTCTTACATACAGATTTTATCCACTCCTTTGATATTAGTTATGATTAGCTATGAGTAGGATTATCCTCACAGCATTCCTGACATGTCCGCAGGTGTAGATTCTCTCCTCAGTGTATACATCAGCTTCCCACAGCTAGTCATATTCTGGCTGACAACACTCCTCATATGTTTGGTGTGCCTCTTGCAGCTCATTCTAACCAGCAATGTTAGTCATAACATTAACAACACTGTTTTCCTGTTTCTTGAGTTGAGGCTCTATTTTGCACTTTCTACAATCACTATACAACCCCCTTGTATTGATTTCATTAGTGGTCTAGTGAAATCATGAACAGCCAGAAATACTGTGAATGAATCTGCAATGTCCTGTAAAGGATATGCAACTAACTTGAACAACCACTATACCTAATGGTTAAGGTTAGTCGCGTATCCTTTACAGGACGTTGCAGAACCAAACCCAGCAGCCCCTGGCTGTTGTGTGGTTTCTCTAGGCAAATTTATGTCTAGTAGTCGGCCCCCTGATACCACGGTCGCAAGGGGCATGGCCCGCAGCTGGGATCGAACCCGGCACTATGAAGCGTTCGCATCGAGTTAGCCACAGAGCCGACCATACCTATAGGTATAGGTGTTTTTTAGTTGTATCTGGAGTCGCAGTAATGTAACAGCTAGATTCTCGACTCCTCGCCTAAACATTGTGAATCTGAATCAGCATTGATTCGGATTCAGTGCAAAAACATCCAACAGCATTAAATGTGCTTCTCATAAACCGATCAGTTAACAAGTGTCACATCTACAGGTGAATTAGACCCAACAGAAAGTGTCAGTTTTAGCTATTTTACAGCTTCTCAGAGCTAAAGGATTAATGGCATAGGAGCTTGTGTCTGTCGAAAAACGATTTAATCTGCGACAAAAGCCTGCTAATTTTTACCAACACTAGTAGACCCCCGTTGTCATTAAAATGGGTACCCAACATTTTTCAGAGAATTATCTGCAAAAGTGATGAGAAAAGTAACTGACCACTCCACCTTGTAATTTATGACCTAGAATGTTAAAGTCAAAGTCAAAAGGAGGGTCTTCATTGCATCGAGTTTTATCCCAATTGGCTGAGTCCCTCTCTGCAGAACAGTTAGCCACCTGCTGAGAGCATCGTACAAGGTGTAAACACCGTAGATCCGGCAATAATCCTCAGAAGTCTTCTTAAAAATTGCACTTTTGAACCAAACAACGCAGCTGGGGAATGAAACAATGACAAACAGCTTGATCTCGCTGAGAGCCTAGAATATGTGAAGGTCTAAGGCGACTGCTCGGCCAGCCACTCTTCTTAAGAATCACTTGATTTTACAAAATAATTGGAACTGAAATGATCTGGTGGTTGGCACATCAAGTGAGCGTTCTGAATGTTGGGGAGGTCTAGATGGTGAAGCAGTCAAGCCATTTGATATGTGCTCTAAAAGTAATGAGTTTGATTTCAGACCATTGTTCAACTCACAGGTTTTTTGTTTAAATACCTGTGGATCCTGCAGGAGCTGTGCAGCCTTGCTCTTTAGTGATTTTATATTTCAGCATGGCTCTTTGTTTTGGCACAAGAGCATTCCCATGAGATGATTTGTATGATGCTTTTGACAGGCTGATGAAACCTGCTGTAGTCGATCCCCTTACTTTTGCTTTCATCCTTTTGAACACAAGAGAAGGTTAAACAAAATACACTGCATTAACCCTATCACCCTGAGATGTCTAACTCTTTAATCTCTAATCAGCTGTACACAGGTTCCGTGATTGTAACTGACTCACGGAGCATGTTGAGAAAGGTGAAAACAGGCATGCTAGGTGCAGAGTGGTAAGCATCACTTCAGAGGTCCCGGGTAGTTAGCATCCTTTAAATATTTTCTCCAACTGCCGGTGTGTTGGGAAACAAACATGCAGAGACAGGCTGGCTCTGCAACACTTGGTGGTGTATTGATGTATGACAAGTCAGATATTGTGAGGGCCCTTTGGGAGCAAGTAAACAGTGCTGAGGCGCAGATAGATCATTATGGTCTAGGGAGAATGACCCTGTGAGAAGCATTGGCCTGCTCCTGACAAGCATAGTTAAATGCAACTGGTTCTATATATGCCTGCGTAGTGTTTAGGAAGCCCGACTGTAAATATATAACTAAACACAGCATTTAGAGGTGTTTCCTTGTAAACCCAATGGCTTTTTTTAAAGCCAGGTTGACCTTAAAAAAATGCCCATAAACATCAGTGATGAAGGTCATGGGTTTTAGGACCCGGGAATGCATTTCTTTTAATTCTTCACTCTTTTATACACACAGGTTTAGGTGTGTGTATACATACTTACATACACACATACTTAATTTATATATCTTTACATATTTAGAAGGGAAAAAATATATTTTTGCCCAGAAATTCCAATGGGTTTATGGCCCATTTATTTTAGCATTCATGGCGCAAAAAGGGTTGAATGAAACTCCACAGTGGCTAACCAAGACATTCTCCATTTGATCAGCCATGCTACTGACGTCACCAAACCAGGCTAACAATATGTAAATGTATCATTACCCCAGTTTGGTGACATCAGCAGCATGGTCTGTCAAATGGAGATGGTTTTGGTCTAACCACACTGAAGTTAGTAAAGAGGCAATCAACATCTTATATGAAAACACCATGTATATCCCAATATAAACATTCTGGCACAGTGTGATAAATTAACAAACCCCCCAAAAAACTCAATAATGGTGACGAAATGATCTTTATTATGATTTTAATATTTTCATAAAAATGCCAGTACAAATGTAACTCAACTGAGTAAATGACAAGTCAATTTTGAACAAGTAATTTAAAATTAAATATACTTTGTGAATGCAAACTCTCAGATGTAGGAACGACAGTGTGTACCTTTCGGACTCAGCTGGTATAACCAGTTTGAGGAGCAATATTTTTATTTCATGAAATTCACAACTTTACCATTAAACATATGTTCATGATAAACATACGTTCATGATGACGGGTTTTCCCTTTTTTAAATTTTCTCTTTTTGTGCTATTCGAAGACTTACTACCGTTGTAACACATCTCGGGAGAAAAAATGGAAAAATGAGCGCATGGGGTGCAAAGGAAAATCAGTTGTTGGGACCAACAACACCACCATCTGACACAGAAAATATCTTTGTCAACTAATTCAATCTCACAAGAACTATTTCTGTGTCATAACTGATACCACAGTCAAACAATTTCACTTTCTACAATGAACAGAAAATTATAAAGAGATGAGATGTCTTAGAAAAGCTGCTAGATTAGCAAGAGATAACAATTAAAAATCTGGAAATTAGAAGGCTACAACTAAAATCAGTTACACAATTAATTAAAAAAGAACAGATGAAATGGTTTGGTCATCTCATGGGAATGCCCGTATACCAAATAACACAAATAGCCATGCTGAAATAAAAGCAACACATATTAGTGGAGAACAAGGCAAAAGATGTAACAATGGCATCACGAATGAAGAGTAGAAGATGGAAGTTTTATGAGACAATCTGGAGCAAGAATGCAGGTTTGCTACAAGAAACTTATCTAAGATCTTCACCTTGGAGATAAGAGTTGAAAGTGGATTTGATGACATCATTCTCCCCAACATCATTCATTCCCTAACTGTTGCACTTCTGAGCTCACTATCTCAGAGAGCCATGACAGGTACTTTTCGTCCAAATAGGATAGTAGTCGGGTTTTCCACCAGCTCACTTCCCATCATTGAAAAGTCAGAAATTGTTATCCAACATCTATGTAAAAGCTAAAGGTAAAGTCGGGAGATGTGAACCAGCGTCACTGCTCGCTTTTATTAACCATAAGTGCACTGCCACCAGTACAAACAGCTGATAAGAAACTGTCTGCCTGTGTCTCCGTCTGCACGCAACTTCGTAGCTACAGCGATGTTCCTCCATTTAACCCGCAGCATTAACTCTGGTACCTATTACCTAGAGGCTGGGTGAACCCCGGGAACCGCCCAGTTTCAAACACCGGCCGTGGGCTCTAGCGATCGCTGCTGGATTTGAAAGTGAGTCAACATCTATGTCACAGCACTCATGATATGACTGTGCTCCTTTCCTGCCAGTACAGTAAGGACACACACAGGTCCAGTAATCAGCTGGGCAAATATATACCTTCTATGATGCCTTTTTCTTCAAATATTCTCTCCCAAAGCACCACACCACTACTTATAAACTCTGCCAGGTGTAAAAAAAAAAAAAAAAAGACTTGATATTTTGTTGTGTCACCGTCTACAATCACCTGATCTTCTAAGTGTTGCTTTGTCTGCACTATCAGTACAGAGAGGTCTGTTTAATTGAGATGTCCTTGCAAAACCGTACACAAGGTACTCTACACCATAAATCGCCACAAGGGTTTGTTCATTTGATATCTCTTAGCTAAACTTTTCATAAGGAAATCCTAAACTATCTCTGAAATGTGAAACTTCAAACTGCTACTGCTAAAATGTCTAAGCTGAACTAGATTTGAAAAGTATTATCTGTTAAGCTCGTCATTTTAAAAACAATGTCTGCACAAATGTCAACTTTGGAAAAAACAGAAAAATACTGAAAAATCTACCACATGAAAACAACCAGTTTATGTACATTTTATGGATGATATTTATGAGAAACTGAATTCTTGGCATCGTCAATCTGAAGGTCTTCAAATCATGACTGCCACTGTTCAAATGTGGACTGGCATGCTAGCTTAGAATGGTCTCATGAGGATGCGCTCCAGATCTCTGGTCTTGTCTAGTGTTTGGTGACTGCTCTTAAACACACGCTGCACTCTAGTGAAGACAAACTTGTCGTAGACAGATCTTGCAGTGTTGGTCTTCTCAAATGGTTCTGAAACAGCCAGAAGTAGTCTATTTAGCACAACACAGAAGACTCTGTAGTCCTATTTTAGGGTCTTATTTTCTCTGGACTTCTATCTATACATCTCTGGTCTTATATCTATACATGCAGATCAAGTTTCTTCTTCTTATCGCTTTGTCTGAGTGACATTATCGTTTTATGCCTGTTTACAGCATTTCTCACACAGATTCCAGGGGGCAAAGACTCACAGCGCACAGAAATCACACGAAGAACAGAGCTAGAGGGTAAAGTTAAAAAATAGAGGGAGGACACAGGGTGAGCTGCATCCAACAGCAAAGGGTAGGACGTCTTGGCCTGAGTTGGTTGAGGGTCTATACTCCAGTGGGAGACAAAGAGCAGAAGATAAAGAAGTTTAGCCATGAAACAGTTTCAAGTTTATTTTTTAAAATTTATTTTGTTCCAGACAAGAGTGTTATGCTCAATTATAAAGATGCACGGGAAACAGGCTGTGGTGATGGTTTAGTGTGATTAATTAATGCCAGGGATGACTTTCCATAGCACAAAGCCTGGGCAGTATTTTACAGACCCTGCAATCATGCATCATGATCTCTTGTTTACTCCCCCCAAAAAAATGCTACACCAATCGCCTGGAACACAGCGTGATGCAGAAGCTGCAGGGTCAGAAGAGGGGTAGGGTCTCTTTGTGGATCCTGGGCCCCATTGCGGGGGAAAACAAGAAGAGACCCACTGCCTTTCCAACAAGCATGTTGTAAGAGTTGACTAACTGGGCACTTCCTTCGAATTTGGAGTGCATCTGCCTGAGAGGCAAGTTACCAACAATCTAGATACAAGTTAAGTCAGATCTGTAAAAAAGGTGTGCACACAACACTCAGGTTCTGGAACAAGACTAATGTCCAAAGGTGGATGGACAACCAGAACTTTCCACTGGAGTTAACACCGGTGAATGTGGACAAGAAGAAGAAGAGCGGTGTGCTGTCCCCATGTGGGAGCTTACCTACTAGACCAGCCCAACCAAGGCTAATGGCCACAAGGTGACACTCTTAACCACAGAGACCCCTTAGTTAGGTGTGTACTTACCCTCAATGTTCAGGAATTTCCACTGCATGGTGTTGCCAGCAGAAGCCACTTCATCTAAGGTTAGTAGTCGGCCAAGCCTGACACTGATGATCTGATCCTCAAAGCTGAAATTAATTTCAAATCAAGATCAATCCAAATATACACCCTAAAAAAAAACATGCATTTCTATTACCTTTGGCTATTTTATGTCTAGGTTGCACTGATGTTACCCAAAAAAAAGTCTCAGACCAGAAACATCATTATTAGTTTTTTTCAACTGCATCATCTTTGCTGGCTTTATTTTTCCTCTTCTTTGCATTCACAGGCTGTAAACTAGGGAGGAAACTTCTGGTTGTTCATCCACTTCCGGACTTTCAAGTCTTGTTCAATGACCAGTTCTAGGTGCACATCCATTTTACAATTTTACAGATCTGGCTTATATGTTGGCAGACTTTTGGTTCCTTGCCTCTCAGGCAGATGCACTGAGACTTCGAAGGAAACCCCTAAGTAGTAGACTCTAACAGAATGCTTGTTGGTTTATCCACCCCCCCCCCCCCCCCCACATACACACAATGGTACCCCTGAACACAAACAGAGAAATAACTTTACTAAATGTAAACGTTTACTTTCGCGAGTGCTTTTAAATTTGTACACAAAACTTTGTCTATAATTCCTTTATTTCCTCACAAAGAAGTAGCAAAATACTTAAAAAAAAAAAAAAATACCCGTTCTGATCTTTTCAACATTATCAAGACGCCAAAAGAGCCACACCGGAAAACAAAATGTACGAAGTACTAAGCAGAATCTCCAGTGGTCAGCAAAGTGTCCAAAGTGATGTTGGAGCTTAGGGTGTAACAGTTTCATTTTTCTGTGAGGGGCGTGCATGCATGCACGCGCTCGCACAGATTCAAAATCCTGAATCCAGCTACAGCAGAAAAATAGGATTCGTGGCTCTGGGTTTGACCCCATCTGGCTCAGTCTCTCTGCAATACAGCTAGCCCCCTGCTGGAGGCATAGCACAAAACAAAAACTGCCACACAAGTCATGACTATGGAAGATCAGTTAAAAAACTGAAAGGACCATTTTCCCGCCTTCATGTGTACTGGGCATATAAGGCTAAACCTATATTTTATAGACTAAACGGCACTCGGTGGGTGATGTAGTCAGCATCACGCCGGCTGTCATTTTACTTTCAAGCTGGGTCAATCTGGGAGCCAAGGTCATTTCTTTAAAAAAGTCAAGGCTTCACCAGGACCCTGACGCACGAACAAATTGAAAGACAGTCCAAAAATTCACCTCCATGACCATCAGAGTTGCAAGGCAAAACCCCACCTTCCCTGATCCATTCCAGTGTCTTTCAAAACGGAATATAAAAACACAGTAGGCTGATATTCACGCTCACAAAAAGATATTTGCACTGTAAGTGAAACGAGGTTATAAATACTCTACGTACGAAAACTGGTTTGCGTAATAATCCAGGAATCCCAGGAACAATTCTCCAAGTGTTGCTCGATTCTCTGAGACAAAATCCAAGTAGGGTTCAAAGTTCAAGGACAACTGTCTTACATCCAGTGAAGGATCAAACAGCTCCTGGCATAGGAAGAAAAGTCAACAATAAGATGAACCAACAACTGAAGCATGCATATATATATATATATATATATGTGTGTGTGTGTGTGTGTGTGTGTGTGTGTGTGTGTGTGTGTGTGTGTGTGTGTGTGTGTGTGTGTGTGTGTGTGTGTGTGTGTGTGTGTGTGTGTGTGTGTGTGTGTGTGTGTGTGTGTGTGTGTGTGTGTGTGTGTGTGTGTGTGTGTGTGTGTGTGTGTGTGTGTGTGTGTGTGTGTGTGTGTGTGTGTGTGTGTGTGTGTGTGTGTGTGTGTGTGTGTGTGTGTGTGTGTGTGTGTGTGTGTGTGTGTGTGTGTGTGTGTGTGTGTGTGTGTGTGTGTGTGTGTGTGTGTGTGTGTGTGTGTGTGTGTGTGTGTGTGTGTGTGTGTGTGTGTGTGTGTGTGTGTGTGTGTGTGTGTGTGTGTGTGTGTGTGTGTGTGTGTGTGTGTGTGTGTGTGTGTGTGTGTGTGTGTGTGTGTGTGTGTGTGTGTGTGTGTGTGTGTGTGTGTGTGTGTGTGTGTGTGTGTGTGTGTGTGTGTGTGTGTGTGTGTGTGTGTGTGTGTGTGTGTGTGTGTGTGTGTGTGTGTGTGTGTGTGTGTGTGTGTGTGTGTGTGTGTGTGTGTGTGTGTGTGTGTGTGTGTGTGTGTGTGTGTGTGTGTGTGTGTGTGTGTGTGTGTGTGTGTGTACAGACACACACGCGCAAACTGTGTTTCAATGCCTGTTTTGCTTCAAATTAAATTTACAATCTTTTCTTGGTGAATGATTTGAAGGTAAAACTTCCAGCTCTAGCTCTGTAGGTGCTGCCTTTATCTCCAAGAGGTTCTACAAAGGTTCTGAGGCACCGTATAGGAAGGCCTGGTCTTAACAAGCATGTTATAATTATTAAAGATTTTCTCAAATCCGATGTACTGGGCCAAAAGGTGCAGACAACAGTCAAGCTGTAAACCATACCATCTGACAACCCTCCCTTTTAAGGAAGAAAAACATCCATGGGGACAATTATTTAAAAACATATGGGCATCCTCCTACATGCATACAAATACACCTCATTTATCTGTGTGCTGTACTGAATGCCAGGTATTCTTACAGAAAGGCTGTCTTTTTCTTCTGCTCTTTATTCCCCAATGAAGCACTGACCCTCAACGAACTCACTTCAAGCCAACCTATCATATGCAACTCACTCCGTGACCTTTCCGTTTCTCCCCTTGCTCTTTAATTCCTTCACATAATTCCTCTGAAAGAGCTCTTCTCAGTTTGATTGGCTTCCCAGTGTGGGCTCCATGGCTTCATTTTGGAGGCAGGAATAGACCTACTGCCCCCCCCCCCCCCCCTAACCACAAGTATGTCGTAGGAGGCAACTAATAAGTGGTAATTATGCATCTGTCTGAGAGGCAAGGAACTAACAATCTGCATACAAATAAGTCAGTTCTGTAAAGTGGATGTGCAGTCCAGCAGTGAACAAAAAAACCGGGAACTTTTCACTGGAGTTTACAGCCAGTGAATGGTAAGAAGAGGAATCTTGGTTGGCCAGTTATTATAGGTTTTTTTTTTAGACTTGTTCATGGTTTTTATGGCATGAGGTAGCCAACTCCAAGCCCAACCATACCCTTGGTCACCTTGCAAAGCAGGCCTGGTGGGATGTAGTACAACTATTCTTTGCTTCCCCTTAGAGTCCTGGTAACACAATGGCGTAGTGACTGACTAAGTGGTGAACAAATGATGTACATTTCTGAGCTATAAGCTGTAAATATAGAACATCATCAATATCTAGGATCAAAGGATTAACAAAATCTACTTACAGGTTTAGTCTCCTGAAGGCAGGGTACAACAGGTGGACTTACTCCCACTGTAATAATTCAACAACACTATAGATATATATATCAGTTAACTCTTTTTATTTATTCTGTACAAAACACTAAGTTACACAATAAACATTATAAGAGCTTACATATATATATATAGTGTGTGTCCGTGCGTGTGTGTGTGTGTGCGTGCGTGCGCGCGTTTGTGTGTGTGGGCGGGTGGGGGTGGGATTTGGTGGGTGGGTGTGTGTGTGTGTGTGTGTGCGAGGAGAGAGAGAAAAATGACACTAAATGACCTCTGTCCTAACCTTATAAGCAAATATACTTTATTATTAATATCAACTAAGACATGGCAACATTTTTCCCCAACCAGTACAACTCTGGAGCCGACCCAGCTTTTTAAAAACAATCATCAGACAATTTCTAGAACTTTCTGTGCAATGTATGGGAAGGAAGGAAAAGTGACACAAAGAGAACTGATCAACACACTTCACTTGTGAGGATCTAGAATATGCGAAGGACAGCGGCTAGAAGCTCACGTGCGGATCGGAAGGTTGTGGGTTCGCTCCCTGGCTGAGCCGGACTTTTTAAAAAATGACTGACTCCCAGGTTGACCCAGCCTCAAGTAGTTACCGAGTGCAGTCCCACATCACCCATCTTGTGCTGATTGGTATACAAAAATATAGATCTAGCCCTATATGCCTAGAGGCGTGGAAAAGGGACCTTTACTTGCTATACTTTACTATATGTGGAGGACTAACTACATCATAACCCAAAAGCAGTGGCACTGCTACAGGATTACATCTACATTTTATCCCCACCCTTGCATAAAATGAAATTGACATTCCGATTCCTGAATCTTACAATGATAAACCGACATTAATGGATGGGAAACCCTTGAGGCAGCAGAAACAGTAAATACTAAGCAGACAAGACGTGCACTGACTGGTCATGGGCCAATCATGTCTTTTTGTTTATTATATGCTATTAAAATGATGCAATTTGTATTTGCAGATTTGTTCCGCTCTTTTAAAGTTAAAAACTAAACAGTGATTTTATACTAATATTTTGAGCTGACTAAAATAAAAGAACCACTATGTCTCTCACTTCTTAAAGGTTGCTGGTATTCTTAGTGGGGGACGGGGGACTTGTTATGCAAAATAATGGACTTGAGAATTTGGTTACAACTGATAAGATTGGTGGGAAAAGAGCGCGGAAGGTAATTAATTAAATATCTGAATGGCTTAGCCATATGCAAGGGATGAGACAAGATCACTGACCTGACTGATGATTCTACTGATCATTTAAGATGGCAAAACATGACAGCCACGCTTATCAGCAGTCTATGATGACGAACCGACCCCACTAGACACCCAAAGAAGCATTTAAACCCTTTAAAAACATGAAACTGTCAGCACCTACCCTGCAGGTAATGGATCAGCATGAGGGTCAGCGAGTAGCTGGAAATGGTCTGTTTGCTGGCATCATTGATGTCCTGGTACCTTGCCCATTTCTTGATGAACAACATCAGTGGTCGAACACGCCAGTCCACTGAAATGAAACAGTTGGCCAGTCAGTCATCATACAAATAGAATATCATTCTGAAGGCTTTTAGACTGTGGTATGAGAGTTGCACTACAGAAGAGATTGGAGCCTCACCACATATGTAGCAGTGGATACACTGAGAACAACCCACTGTGGAGACAGCACAACTTTTGGCTCTCCTCCCAACTTCTACCCCCCCCCCCCCCCCCCGCGCGCATTGGCAGCCGAACAAATATCCTTACGGGGCTCAGTCCTATTAAAAATATGCGAACTTCCGGTGACGAATGAATCGCAGCAAAACTAGGATTACTTGACAATTTCAAGAGTCGCAACACTGCAGACGATAGTAGCAGACAATAATAGCGACCGTTGGCACTTTCGAGCGTTTCTGCAGACGATACTAGCAGACGATTCTAGCGACCATTGACAATTTGGAGACACGCAACATTACTGACGATAAAAGCGACATGGCAGGGAGACCACGTGCGCCGACGCAAATTAGTGTTGTTGTCCTCAAACATTTCCGCATTCGCAAAATGCGATTACACTTACCGCCGACAGTTTCCCCCACGCCGCTGCGCGGCCAAACTAGGTGCATGGGACTCACAAGCAAATTAATTGGAGGAAGTTGCAGGAGATGCGGTAGCTGCTGCTCGTGAGTCCCAGCTATCTAGTTTAGCCCCCATCCACGCACCGCGTAGCGGCGCGGGGGATACAGTCGGCGGTGAGGCATAGTCACAGAAACAGGTCCACAATTAACATATCGCCGAGACCTTGTTAGAGCATTTGTTTCGTTATACGGAGCCGATCCTAGTTTTGCCGCGATTTGTTCTTCGCCGGAAGTTCCCATATTTTTAATATGACTGAGCCCCGTTAAGGATATTTGTTTGGCCGCCATAATGCGGGGGTAGAAGTTCTGTGGAGAGCCCAACTTTTTGTTTATTTCTCAGTAAACATACCACATTCCAGAGCAGTTTCCTTTTTTTTTCACAACGGCCTTCTCTCGTGTGGTGCTCGATTAATTTTTATAGACCAAAGGACACTCAATGGGTGATGAAGGTTAACACTGTTCCACTTCTAGGGCACTCCTAAAGGTTTACTTGTATAGACCAACAGACAGACAATGGGTGACCTAGTTAACACTGTTAGCTTACCGCAGCTTCCATATAAGAGCAGTAGCCCATAAAAGGTTTAACTATTTTGCCATGCGTTCGACACACAAAATACAGCCTTAGTCACCTTTTTTTTTTATTTGCAACACACTTGGTCAGTGGATCTATTCTCCCCAACCTCACCTCGCCCTGAGACCCACTAAAGGAGAAATACATTCAAAAAATAAACCCAGAGTTGTGGAAATTTCAGGCTAATTTTAGACTATCTGTACAGGAAATGGTGGTACACTTATGTATATGACTGCATGGCCTCAAGTGAAGTTTTACACAGGAAAATCAGGTTACCATTTATCTGATTAAGTCGCACTGTCCAAGTTTTTTCCCCTACAAATTCTTAGACCTAATTATTGTGATTCCCTGTCAAGAATAATTTATTCTGCATCTGACTGTGTGTGCAGAACAGATAGGTAACCTCATCAGTAGAAGAAAAAAACACTTGATAAGTTACCAGCAATAATCTTAAAAAATAATAACATTTAAAAAAAACAAGGCCAGAAAAACTACAGTGCATATATCTTCTTCTTTTCAAAGAGGTAAGTTTTCAAGATAGGGAAAGGACTTAATTCTTTGAAGGTGATAGCATCATCAGTGGACATGGAACGGAAAATGCTCTACACACCCTACCAGCAACCGATCATTTTGGTTAGAAAATTTGCTTGGGGACCACTAAATATCTCATAACCAAACAGAGAAGCTTTCAAAAAGAAAACATGCGTCATATTGGGATGTACACAAGACACGCCAAGTGTGTGCATGTGACACGCACTTGCATTGCCATCACTATATGATATATACAAGGTTTAACGCATTTTAAAGTTGTAACAGACATAGAACACCTTCTGCATAGAACCTTAGGGGAGAACTATAGACTAAGGCTGAAAAAATGTGGCTCTTGGACAGCACAGGCAGTGCCAATAACCCCCCCCCCCCCCCCCCCCAGCAAGGCAGACATGTACTAAGTGATAGTTACTGTGGACCCATGGTGCCGTAAATGGATAGCTGGTGAATCACAGTCAGTGGTGCAAGAGCTGATCAATAATTCAGGCCCAGGTGACATAATATATACGGATATGTCCATAGTGAAAGATAAAGAAAAGTTGGTGGTGGTTTTATTGCAAGGATAAATGAACACTGCTTAAAAACAGAGAGTGTCGCATACAACGTCAATACATTCAGTATGAGAATTGAGGTGGAAGCAGTAACAGCTGCTTTAGGGCGGCTTGAGAACAGCACAGTCCGACATGTAATTGTAACAGACTTACAGAGTATGCACTGAAAAATTGAAACTGGTGTCCTGCGCACAGAGTGGCTTGCATCACTTGATCAGACCCAGATCAAGAGCATATCATGGATTTTTTTGTCCAGGTTAATTAGGTGTATGAGGCAACAAGCAGGCTAACAGATTAGCTGCTGCTGCTTCTCTGGACGGCAAGCTACTATATGATAAATGGATATGGTAAAGGCTCTAATGGATTAAACAGAGAGTGGGTAGAGGTTCTGAAAGATACTCAACGTTGAAGGGGAGACAAAAACAGAATTTAAATCAGATTGCACTGGTACTATTAGCATGTCAGCTTTTCACTGGTTACTGAAGAAGGAGATGAAGCAGGTATGAGATTTTCCAAAGTGCCATGTTGTAAATTCTTGAATGATTTATTCATTCATTCTTCTCGATCGTCAGTGGCGTAACTGCGCAGTTTTTATCTACAGCAAAGCTACATTTGCACCTTATGGTCGACACACCAGACTTCAGCGGGTATTGCTGACCGGGTTAACTTCCCAGATAGTTTATACTGAACATATAGTAGGAAAATCAGAAGTGAATATCTTTTTAAACCTTGGGGTCTCTGCAATTTAGGGGTCAGGTCATGGGTTTGTTTCATAAGTGCTTGAGTTTCATGAGTTCCCAAGTGCAATTTTTACAGGGATCCCTTAGGACAGCTGGTGGAACTACAGAGTTTGTGCTTTGTGCAACTTCTCGGCAGGCAGCTAGCCATTCTGCAGAGATCAAAACAGCTCTAGCAAACGAAAGAACAAACAAATGCATGAAACAATGAAAACATTAGGTGTACGTACTGTAGGCATAAAAGCGCAACAGATGAGTGTTCCTCACGCCAATAAGGTTGTTGACATTCAGGTCACAATCGACTCCACTGAAAAAATATGAAACTCATGAAAAAGGAACAATGAAATCTAACTACTAAAAGTACGTAAGTTCTAAAAATTTTCAGTCAGCTCATATGCTGCCAGAGGTGAAAAATTAATAATAAGTGAAAAAAAAAATTTTAAGGGCCCTATTCCGCCCCTGCAAGCGTTTTGGGCATATAAGGCTAGACCTATATTTGTAGACCAATCAGCACTCAGTCGGTGATGTGGTCAAGATCAGGCCGGCGCCTTTGTTACCCAGGAGTTTTACCTGGTACCAATTTAAGGTTGAGTCGATCTGGGAGCCAAGGTCATTTTTGGAAACAGTATCGCTCCGTTAAGATCTGAACGTATAACTGTTGGATCCACAGGCGAGGAACTAGCCACTACACCATCTCCTGATGAAATACAGTCTGAATATAAATAAGATATTAGATATCAAATCCATGTTTGGGTTCTGGGGCCCCATTGAGTGAAAAACAAGAATAAACCCAGTCTTTATAAAAATATGCGTAGGAGTTGACTAATTTTGAGCTTCCTTCTAAGTCAGAGTTTATCTGCCTGAGAGGCAAGGGAACCAACAATCTGCACACAAGCAAGTCAGATCTGTAAAATGGATATGCAGTAGCACTCAGGTTCTGGAACAAGACTAATGTCCAGAGGTTGACAAACAACCAGAACTTTCCGCAGGAGTTTACAGCCGGTGAACGTGAAGAAGTGTCTAATAAGAAGGGCTGTGCAAGTGAATTAATGTGACATGTTTATTAACTGGAAAGAAAAGCATCCACATCTGATCACATTTGCTGTAGAGATCTATGGCTCTGCCTGAAGTGTTGACTCATCAGAAGCAAAAAATACCGACATTTACAAAGGAAAGATCACAGCCAGGCTATTTTAACAATAAAACATGGAGTTTGGCGATACATTTTTACGGGGGGAGGACGGGGGATAAAGAACTCAATTTTATCAAACCATTTTGCTCTTTTAGCCATTGTGTGGTGAGCTGATTCAATCCAGATTTGTTGTGCAGCTTTTCTGATACCGTGCCATCTCTATGAGATGAGGTCTTTAGGACCAACCTTATTTAAAGGTCTATGGTTCCTTTCTGACCTCTCAGAAAACCCTCATGCATGACATGTGATCTTAGAGGGAAGGTAGCAGTGGTACAGAGGTATGCCCTATCATCTAAGGAGACTTCCATATGCACAGCTGGTACGTGATGCTTTGGTTCAGGGCTCAACCAAGTAAACACCACGTTGTGTACATAAGTCTTTGTTTGCCTCACATCCATAAATAAGGCCTCCCACTTATCAAGGGCCAGGCTGTCTTTGCAGGGACCAGTTAGGCACAAACTGAAGATTTACCTGGGCGTGAAGTCATCGTGGCAAGAATCACAAATGCAAGTGGATCCCACGACAGCTCATAAAGCAAGTGTGCTGAAAGTGTCCAGGTTCAGGATCTTGGTTAGAGACTACCTTGAGAATCAGACAGAGTTGCATGGTCTTGGCAGAACATCAACCCTGGAAAAATATGCAATGCAGACCAGCATTTTCCCTTTGTGTGCCTGAATAAGTGGCCTTAGATAAACCGCGAATCCGACAGATCGGTGTAGTCAGGGGACCATTTATGGCCGCAGAAAATATGCACAAGCAGCAATTTCCCATGGAATGGACGAATGATGTGGTATTTACTGCCGCACCAATGGTGGCCAATCAGGGGTATAGATAGAAATCTATGTCAAGCAGCATGCTCGTCGCATTTCCAATTCTGGGAAATGTGCGGGGGTAGCAAGGTACTCTTTAATGTTACAAGTGAGAACTTTCACAACAAAGTGTTCATAAATTAGGAATGTATCCATACTCTACAAGAAACAATGGGTCACCAGGAAATGCCTTCAATGGACAGCAGCAATGACAACATTTGCAGGATTATTTATATTCAGCAATGATCTGTCATTAGCAAATTACTATTTAACTTGTGATATGGGAGTGGGCTGATGAATGTCTGAGTTGTCACCACCTGGTCAAGAAATCTCTGGGAGTCAAATGACTGTCATTCGGGTTCGAGTCTCTCAACGACAATTAATCAGAGGTGTGCAACATGAATTTATGGCAAGTCGTGCATGAGGTTTCTGTGAAACCAGCAAGGATATTTTAGTTTCCCTTTTAACAGGTGACTGGTATCTGAAGAAAAGTAGAATAAAACACCTTTACACACCAACCCCAGACTTTCCTAAGTGCCTGAACAGACATAATAATACAATCGATGTAATTTAGGGGGCTGCGTGGTCTCGAGGCATGGGGTGCGTCTAGAGTGCTAGAGGTTCCCGGTTCAATCCCCGGTAGAAGCTGGGATTTTTTCATGTGAACTTGGACTTCTAGTAATTCTGCTTGGTCTCTGGGTAGTGAGATCGAACATCCGTGTGCATTGCTGCCCACGTAAAAAAATCCATTGGCAGTTGAAAATCAAAAAGAGTAACCTAATGGGGCTGCCCGGGTAAAATTTCAAGTTTAAAATTTATCCAAAGTATTTCAGGGTCCTCGTCGCAGTTATAGAGCCTGTGCATTGTGCTGAGCTTCTTTGGACTCAGTCTTGAGTTAAAAGAAGAACGAAGCACTCATGGGTTACTACCCATGTTCCATTATGTTGATCCGTTGTTCAAAACCTTAATGCAATATAGACATACAACTTAGAGTGTAGAACATACATTTTAAAAAAACAGGTTTATTGTAGTAGTTTTTCTGTGGATGCTTTCAAACGTTTAGTTATTAGTAAATGGCTGCAGATAATAAATTCAAGAATATAGGCAGTCAATAATGTACATTTCAAATTAATATCAGCACCCGGGGGACACTGGAGACAATCTTTGCCTGCCAGATGACTTCACAAATTATAAATTTGCACTTATCACTGAATGACTGGTAGAAAACTACTTACGAGACTCTGTCAAAGAACTTCAAGATTGGAACCTTTGCCTTGATGACTTGTCGATGGTCCAGACATGCTAAGATAGGTTACAAGACAATAAAATATATGTCTACACCAATGTATTAAAATCAATAATGAAAATACTGAAATGTTATATAGTTTTAACATTTAGACTCAACAGTGAACACCAAAAGTGACTAAAAAAGAAGTCAGAAAAATACTTCCTTTTGTGGCAACTTATGGATGTGAGTCGTAGATTCCCGTTTGTGGCAACTTATGGATATAAGTCATAGACTCTTAATCACAATGAAGAAAAAATTCAGAGCTTTTGAACTAAAGTGCTGCATAAAAATTGTTAGAATAACATGGACCTTAAAAAAAAAATCAAAGCTGTCCAGAAATGCTATAGAAAAATTCTTAAGAAAACCATGGACCAGGAAGAAAACATTGACATCCTGCATAATCAGAGCATCAAGGAGAATTGGCTCATAAACAACATCCTGACCGAAAGCTAAGGTACTTTGGCTATGTTAAACGTCACGGTGGCCTGGAGAGAATGATGATGAAGTTTCTGGAAAACGATGCAGAGGCAGACCTCTGCAAATGTGGATACAAGACACTGAAGATTCACTGGCTATGAAAGCACATAGGGCTGGAAACTGGTTAGAGAGAGAGATAGAGAGAGAGAAAGAGAAAGAGAGAGAGAGACTTTTATGCATGCCATGGCGAAAGCAAGGTTCTAGAAGGGGCCTGCTGACTGATGTATGTACATGTGTGGATATTAAATATAATTATACACTGGAACATTTTTACTCTGGCATGTCTGCCCAGTGTAAAATCAATTCACAGCACCACGATAATGTATCAGTCATTAGACGGATACTTGCTACTGCTTTATTTAAAACATATAAATAAAAAATAGGAAAGGGCACTGAACCGAAATTAGGAAATAAGTAAAAGATGATTTTCCTAGCCCATATTTTGTTCCAGTCCATATTTTAATGCTGATCAGTGATCAATAGCGCACCAGCTAACTTTATTTCCAATATTATTTCCTTATACCCATTTAAATTTAAGTTAGGTCAACTTGGCAGCCAAGGTTAAAAAATGTTTATTTTTTATTTTTATCCAGCCTTTATGGGGCTGTGAATATGTGAGCACCTGCTCGGCAGCAGGATGCTTTCCCAACTACCACAGCCCCCATCACCAAAATTTATTGCAATTATAATGTGTTTCAGAATGACCTGAAAAGGGGGTCAACTACTAGGAATAAAAGAGGGTGAAATAACATTTAGGAATTTAGGATAAAAATATGTCAAGAAATGGTGTCACCCTGGCAACCCTAAAAAAAAAAAAAGATTTTTAATCGGCCCCATGAGAAATCCTGGAAAATCCTTTGAAAAAAACACAATTTTACACAGGCCACAAATAGATTGTGTGTGCGCTTACGCGCGCTTAAATGGGTACCATGTAAAGTTAAAGTGTAAACAAAAGTTCTGTGGAATGTAAATGTGTTTTTGTGTGTCCTTCTACTTCTTCTTTGTTCACCTGCTGTAAGCTCAGGCGGAAAGTCCTGGCTGTTAGTCCATTTGGACTGGCTTTGTGCCATGACCCGAGTTTTGCATGCACATCTGTTTAACTAGCTTTTTTGTGTGCAGTTGGTTGCTAGGTGCTGCTTTATGCTGGAGTTTATAGCCAGTGAACACACAAAAAAACGATATCAAACTTACAACACTGCCTGAGGGCTTTTGAAATGGAGTTCAAAATGATAGAAGCATCTCTTCTCTGATCAATCTGAAAAGAGTAAACAGCTCAAAGCTCTAAAGCATAACACTAAATTTGTCGGCATAATAATATTAATTCAATATAGCAAACTATACAGCATATCAACACCAAATTCTATAACATAACATTTTAAAACCTAACACCAAATGCTACAACATAATAGCACCAAATTCTTTGAACATCACCACACAATTCTACAAGATACCACACCAAAGTCTAAAAAATGTTGAATTAAACAATGGACATCACAGCACTCAGGACACTAACATAAAAATATCATAAAATATCCAAATAATGCAACCTGGGACCTCTAAAGAGATTCTTGCCACTCTGCATGCAGCATGCCTGTCTCCGCCCTTCTAGACATACTCTGTGAGTCAGTTACAATTACAACAACTGATTCCCAATCCAAAGGACTGCCTCCACTTCCATTCTCAAACTAGATGTTGTGATATCATAAGCAGGCTTTGTTGCACTAAGCCATGTCCAATCGCTTCATCTACCAAAGTCTACAACATAATACTAAAGTAGAAATAAAGGAGTACAATGATTACAGAGAGGTTAAGAGCGGAGTGCCTAAAAAGCAGCAGTGACCCTGAAATCTCAGGATCTGACTGGAAATCTGAACACAAGCGGGTCTTGCCAGTTATTTGCCATCGCCGTGAGCTGTGGTTCCTATGAATCCCTAGAGCACTGTGGTGAAGTATCCAAGCAGTTTGCCTCGTGCTCTGAAGTTCGTGGGTTCAGTTTACGGCTGTGTCGCTCAGGTTACGAGTGCAATTTTTATGGCAATCCCTCAGGATCATCAGCAGAGCTACGGAGTCCGTGCACTGTGCAATGCTTGGTAGGCAGCTAGCCCTTCTGTGGAGAGAGACAGAGCCAAGCAGGATAAAACTCGGGGCAATGAATTTCATCCTCTCGACTTTACCTTTTATCATCTAGAAAGACGGATAGGTGCCAACCAAAATCAAAATCAAATTCCCTGTACCTGACAGCAAGAAAATACCCACTGTCTCCTTAACAAGTATGTCGCAAGAATCAACTAATTTGGGGCTTTCTTTAAAGTCACAGTGCATCTGCCTGAGAGGCAAGGAACCATATACAAAAAAGGCTACATCTGTTAAACGGATGTGCAGGTAACACTCAGATTCTGGAACAAGACTGAAGTCCATAGGTAGACAAACAGCCAGAACTTTCAGCTTGAGTTTACAGCCAGTGAACATGGAGAAGAAAAAAGAAATAGCAAGAAAATACTGGCTAAAGAAATTGAAAGGAATACATCACTAAGGATTATTTTCTCACCTCCTCCTGAGATATCATGAGACACATATCCACGTCACTTCCTTTTGTTGCAAAGCCAGTCATTGATGAGCCAACTATGAACAGACTGCAATCTGAAAAATTGAATACACTCAAATGATTAGGGTATGTATTTAAAAAAAAAAAAAACTTTCTAGTTGTGCTATATTAAATGTCGCTAAATATTTGTGTATTTTCATCTGAATGCTACTTCTTGTGTATTCTACCTTAAGAGTGTAATGTGGTTTGCAGCCAATCTGTGATGTCTTTACCTTTCAGTTTAACGCACCTGATTTCAGCACACCCCTAATTAGTAGTCTTTTATGGCATGCTTGTTTTTCCTGCTTCTTTTAGCACCCAAAGGTGTGGGGAAAAAAAGGGGGGGGGGGGGGAGGCGCCTCAGAACACATAAAGGAAATCTGAACACAACAGCTTTCCATTAATATTCACTATTACAGTCAAGATAATGAACCTCTATTAGTTTTTACATTTTGAGCTTTTTTTATATACATTATCCTAAACCAGTGCTATTCAACTATCTGCCCGTGTGCCTTAGCTGGTCCGTGGAGGCCTAGTTGTATTTATAATTTTTCTATGCTGGAGCTCGAGTTTCTAGCCCACGAAGATCCCAAGTTTCAAAAGTATGGCCCCGGTGTAAACTTACTTAAATAGCCCTGTCCTAAACTATAATGACCACTTCTTCACATTTGTACATGTGCATCTTTAATGTCCTCTAGCTCTTTTGCCCTAAAATACAGCTTTCATTCTATCAGCAGATTGCTATGTGGTCCAGAGTGGCCAAAATAGTAAATCGTCTATATTTTCACTAGCAGCATCCAACACTGGAGCTGTCCACATGTTGCAAACAAACACCTAAATATATATATATATATATATATTAACAAGTAAAATGACTAAGAATCATACCCCTTGCCAAAAATTTTCTCTTAAATTCACTCCTAGTGGCAGTGTGGTTAATACACTTGGTTTAAGTTACAATCTTCATGGCACATTGGTTTGAACAGTCTAAATTCCAATCCTAGTGGCAGTGTGTCATACACTTGGTCTAGTTCACTTCTAGTTGCACAGTGTGGCTAGTATACTTGGTCCAGGTTCAATCACGATGGCACAGTGGATAGTACACTTGGTCCAGACTCAATCTCTTTGAGTGGTAGCATTCCTTTTCTCTACCAGTGCTGCTCTAAGGCAGACTTAACATTTTTGAGGCAAAAATTATTGGCTACCATATCTCATAATCTGGCTTAGAATGTGTGAAAGTCTAACACTTCACTTCAGTACAGTATGTACCAAGAAAGACTACTTTTTGTTAACTTCATATGATAGGACATTCGAGGTCTTTTGGTGGAAAAAGATTATAAAGTACTTTTATAATAACAGAAGCCAACTGTAGCACAGCGGCTAAACTCTTACATGCCACCCCAAAGGTCTAGGGACCATTAGAGCAGATTTTTTGGGTTTTCAAAACACCAAGGCCACCCAGGCTAAAATGGGTACCAGGTAATTTCCAACAGAGTGAAGGCGATTGGCACAGCGCTGACCATATCGCCCATCATGGCTTCTAAATGATAAAGTGGACGTGGGGAAGGCTCTCTGGGATCAAACGAACAGTGCAATAGAACAGATGAAGAATCCATACACTGAAAGACTAATTCAATCGGGTGTAAGTAAAAGCTCTGGAAGATTTCAACAATGAGGGGGAAACACAGGCATAATTTTAATCAGGTTGCAACTGGTACATTAGCTGGCTACTGAAGAGAGGGAAGGAGCATGTGAGGGAATGTCTAGAGTGCCGTGATGTCAAATATTGATTTAATCATCCACCATGACGTGGCCAAATCTATAAAACTACAGGTCTAACATCATTTACCTGCTGCACCAAAGGGTTGAACAAGGTCCCTTATGTTCTTTTTTTACAGACAGCATACATTGAAATGGGAAATGCACCAAACTACAGCCATAGCAAAGTTAAATTATTAGGTTCTCAATGATCACAAAGAGATAACATACTTGGGAATGCACTGCCAACTATGGCCATGATACATTTGCGTAGCCTCAGTTTTCTTTTCACATCCGATTCTTCCATTCTGGCAGACAAAAAGTAGTTCCAGATGTCCATTGTGATCTGAAATACAAACATAAAAAAAGTAATGATCCCTGAGTACATAGAAACAAAGCTGTGGAAAACAAAACTGCAACGGAAGTAAGTATCAGAATAAATCAGTCATTATCCTTTGTAGCACCCAAAGAAGCCAGCTTCAGGCCTCAGAAACGAGATATCTGAGAAAGGTGGTCCAATTGACGAGGGGAAAAGTTTGCAATCAGACAATATGTCAAGATCTTAAAACAAACCTAGGCCTTACAAACTCGAGTGGATCAGTCACAGTTACAATGGTTTGGATGTGTGTGCAGAATGGAAGAAAATCAGCCACCATGGCAGGCATGGGAGGCTAAGAACCAGGGAACCAGACCTCCAGGGTGGCACAGGGTCCACTGTGACAGTCAGCAGAGGACTGAAATGGAACAAAGCCAGATAGAGAAGTCTGGCAATCTCTATGGCAAACCTTTACACCCCAGGTAGAAGACATGCAACAAAGTAATCTTTCGTAGCCTGGCTTATACTGAGCACACAGGTGAAAATAAAAGCCAAGCGGGGCCTAGCAGCAATGAGAGTGATGGCTGCAGCAAACTGTGAGCAGCGTCATTTATGTTTTTTAAATCAGGGTCTGGTCCGTTCTAGTTTTGAGTTCGCAGGGGACACTTTCATTTACACAGATGGGTCTGTGGTTCACCACGTGAGAAGCTCATGGGCTTTTATGGCTCAGGATGTTGTCAGAAGGTGAAGCAAGATTCTGATGCTTTTGCCTTGACAAGCAGTCTGATTATGGAGGTCATGGCAGTGACCAAAGCAATAACACAGCTGGAGACACAAATATTTACCCGCGCAAGTTTTCGCTGAGACTCAATGAGCATGCAGAGGGAAATAGGAGATGGGCTGGGTCTTAAGACAGTGGTTGGAAACTCTGAGACAGTTGAGGCTGACACATATCAGTTTTGTATTCGTGCCAGGGCACATAGGCATGCTAGGAATGAGCAAACTGATAGGATTTCAGGTAACGCTACCCTAATGTGGACGTGCTAACATTCTTAATGCGCTATAAGAACCATCAATGAGACATTTGCGAGAACCAAGTGATGGCTCTGAATCTGTAACCAGGACAAGACTGCAAGAACATAATGTTAATAGGGGTGTGGTCAAACAGGAGGACTATGCAGGAAGATAAAAAGAAAAAAAAATAACAAACCAATACAGTACAGCTGAGGAGGATATCTGAGCACTTATGAACTGATTGGTTTGAGGTTCAATGAGGACAATCTGTTGACTAACTAAATTTTGTGGCAAAAGGTATCTGTTTAAAAAATGCTGGACAATGTTAACTGCGAAGCTATGTTAACTGTAATGGCACTGACAAAGGTGACGGTTCTGTTAGTTGTATAGGCACTGTTAAAAGTGAGAGCACTGGTAACTGTAGGGGCACCGTTAACTGTAAGAGTATTGTTGACTGTAAATTACTTGAGTTTATGAGTGTGTGAGAGAGGGGATTTGGCAAAAGATTCTCTTAGGCAGGCTGTGATGTCAGCAACATTCTGCAAAGGACCTGCCACAGGATGATGATGTCCTGTACATAGTGCTACTTGTTCAGTTTACCTCTTTATTTAAACAGTGTTTAGAGTAGTGGCTTTCAACCTTCTTAATGCGACAGCCCTTTCATACAGTTCCTCATGTTGTGGTGACCCCCCAACCATAAAATGATTTTTGTTGCTACTTCACAACTTCAGTGAATATGTATTTTCCTATGGTCTTAAGCGACTCATGTAACAAGGGTCTTCGGCCCCCAAAAGGGTCGTGACCCACAGGTTGAGAACCACTGGTTTAAAGGCAAGAGGTTCAAATTTATTGCACCAGGTTTTATCATACATGGATCATTGTTTCTCCCATGTGAGTTTGTACGATTGTGTACACATGATGTGCGTATGCATTATTCTATAATTTATATTTCTTTTTTTTATATCTATGCATTATTGATAACAGGCATTGATTCTCTAAAAATGAGTGCTTAGAAAGGCTGAATGTCAGAGGAGCCTGCGTGCCCAATTTGTAACCCTTTGAAAATAAAGTTTGTTCGTTCGTTCCTCAAAATGACTGGTCTCCAGCAAGAGGTTCGTAAAAAGCACAAGCTCTGCTCCTCTAAAAACAATGCACAAGATGGCTGAAGCACTTACAAACCAAAGGAGAGTGTTCAAAATCATACCCACAACTTTAAAGAGTATGCAGCCAACCACTTCACTAGTGTTAGCTATTCCTGGGTTCCAGTGCCTTATTTTAGGGCTGAAAAGATAACAGACATTTTGCCCCCTAAAAAGCATACCATAAAAGTCGGCTAAATAATTTGTTCCTGAAACTGCATTTGTTGGGCCAAAAGTTAAAGATATGGCTGCCTAGCAGTAAGCAACAACGCAATGTGCTGACCACCATTTTAAATGAAAAAGGAAGAAAAATTAGAAGAAGAATGGGCTGTGTATAATTTATGTTATCCCTCTCAAAGAAAGCAAATTCTCTCTCGATTGAAAACAGGACATCACACAGCTTGAGCTACACTGTAACAAACATATAAGCGTTGATTTACAAGTAAAACTTACTTTCTCTGTCCCTTCACTGACAGGTACCAGGAAGTTGTTTTTAACCTTTGGTGGCAGCACAGGTCCAGGTGGTGGGCCGGCCGGCCTTGCCCTCTTAGCTGGGAAGGGGGGTAAATCATCTTCATAGAAGCGTCTGTGAAAATAATCAAACAAAAACCATTACAGTTTTGTCCAAAGCCTTTCAAAGGTGATGAATATTCTAAACACAGTACATAAGAATAGGTGACACATGGATCTGTCCTAACTGTATCGTACAGTGGAACTCTGATATTTGTTGTTGATCGGATCCAAACAGAAGAATTAATATTAAAAAGAAGAAACCCAAACAAATTATTTCTCATATGAATTAATTAAACATGGTTTCACCTGTTCCCATCCCTGAATTTTGCCCATCTATTCTGTAACAAACAAATAAATCTGACTTGAAAGTCGATCTCAGAAATCTCTGCAAAAAATTGTAATTACATATTAACCACTGCACTTATTATTGCTTTATTATTATGACAGAGATTTACTCATCCTGACGACATATATACTGCAGGCCTATATAAATTCATAAGTTAAATTTTAAGGTTTGGAAGTTTTAACAACGGATCAACATCCTGGCACACAGGTAGTAACCCATAAGTGCTCCGTTCTAACTCATGTCTGAGTCCAAACAAGCTCAGCACAATATACAGGCTCTGTGGCACCGGCGAGGATCCTGAAATACTTTGGGTAGATTTTTAACTCCACATTTTGCCCCGGCAGCGCTATTAGGCTTTTCTTTTCGATTTCCAACTGTCAAGGGATTTTTTTATGTGCGCAACAATGCACACAGGCGTCCTATCTCACTACCCAGAGACTGGGGAAATTACTAGAAGTCCAAGCCTAGTGAAAAAAATCCTAGCCCTTACCGGGGATTGAACCCGGAACCTCTAGCACTTGGAGCCGACACCATGCCTCAAGACCACGCAACTGCCCTTAAAAAAAAAATTTAAAACGAAGTTACCTTTTGGATGAAAAACCCAATGGCTTTTGTTTGGAAGGGAAGTCAGCTTCCATTATTAAATCAGATAATGTCACTTCTGGTGTCTGATGTTCTGATGATTCATCAGCACAAATTTTCTTTTCAATTAACCATTTTTTTAAACACTTTCTGAAAGAGTATAAACACATTTTCATCAAATGAAGTGATACAGTTATAGCGATGTTTGGGTGCCACTTCTCGATGACCACCCATATTTTTGCCCAAGTGAACAGACATTCCTTAATTTCAGAAGCAAGGAACCAACAGTCTGCATGCAAATAGGTTGGAGCTGTGAAACCGATGTGCAAAAAGCACTGAGTTTCTGCAACAGGACTATAGTCCAGAAGTGGACAAACAACCAGCTTTTAGTTTTAGCCGGTAAACGTGAAGAAGAAGAAGCTATGTTTCCTTCAAGGATTGTATATTTGACACCCTTCCTGCAAGTAGTATACCCATGAGCTGAGTACTTCCTTTCATAATTCCCTCGGACGTTAACTAGAACACTGCATGACTGAAAGAGTTAAGTGACAGTGGTCTATTGTTTCTTTACCCCAACATGGGGGTTCTGGAACCTACATGGGAGAACTCTAGGTTATTTGAATTCACTAGTTCAAGAGACTGAACAGAAGTATGGCATGAAACAAATGAACTTACTTGAGTCTTCCACCCATGAGAAATCCTCTGCCTGTTGGGGTTTCCATCAAAGGTCTTGGCATCTTAAAGGGCATGCCGAGGGGAAAAAATGGCATGTCAAAGTCCCTCATAGGCAGTCTCATTGGCGGCTCTGGATAGTCCATGGCGGGGTGAAATGGCGGCATCTGTCTGTTCCCAAAGTTCCCTCCCATCTGGCCTTTCCCAAAGTTTCCTGCCCTTCCCTGGTTGCCCCCAAAATTGCCTGGCATCTGGTTTCCACCAAAATTGCCAGATCTCATCTGGTTACCCCCATAGTTGCCCGACCTCTGGTTACCCCCATAGTTGCCTGACATCTGGTTACCCCCAAAGTTGCCTGACCTCTGGTTACCCCCAAAGTTGCCTGACTTCTGATTACCCCCAAAGTTGCCTGACTTCTGGTTACCCCCAAAGTTGCCTGACTTTTGATTACCTCCAAAGTTGCCTGACTTCTGGTTACCCCCAAAGTTGCCTGACTTTGCCTGGGCACCCCCTAAGTTACCTGCTTTCTGAATACCCCCAAAGCTTCCCGGTGCCTGGTTACCCCCAAAGTTGCCCGGTGTCTGGTTACTCGCAAAGTTGCCCGATGCCTGGTTACTCCCAAAGTTGCCTGATTTCTGATTACCTCCAAAGTTTCCTGCTTTCACTGGGCTGTTCCCATAGTTTCCTGCACGCACTGGGGTACTCTCAAAATTGCCTGGTGCCTGGTTACCCCCATAGTTACCTGCTGCCTGGTTACCCCCTCCATATCCACCAGATACCTGGTTACCTTCATAGTTATTGGACACCTGGTTACCCCCATAGTTGTTGCTCGCATATTCATTATTTCCATAGTCATTACCGCCCCCATAGCTGTTATCTCCGTAAGTGTTATCCCCATAGCTGTTATCTCCATAGCTGGTATCCCCATAGCTGTTATCTCCATAGCCATTATCTCCATAGTTTTCTGCTCCCTGGTTAGCCCCATAGCTGCCTGCCCCCTGGTTAGCCCCATAGTTGCCTACCTCCTGGTTAGCCCCATAGTTGCCTGCCCCCTGGTTAACCCCATAGTTGCCTGCCCCCTGGTTAGCCCCATAGTTGCCAGCCCCCTGGTTAGCCCCATAGTTGTCTACACCCTGGTTAGCCCCATAGTTGCCTGCCCCCTGGTTAGTCCCATAGCTGCCGGCAACAGGGCCGCTCCCGTAACCGCCTGGTGCCTGGTTAGCCCCATAGCTGCCTGTTGCACTGCTGCCTCCGTAGTTGCCTCCCATCTGGTTACCTCCATAATCCTCAGTCATCTGGTTATTTCCATAATTGCCTGCCCCTGCCATCTGGTTACTGCCATAATTATTTCCTGCATCGGGTGGTACATAGCCCCCAACTGGAATATGTGGATATCTAACAACACCATATGCTCCAGGTGCTTGACCAAGAATTCCTCTCTGATACATTCTGAGATCCTGTTGATGGTAGCACAAAAATAAATGTGTCAGTATATGTGTGTGTGTGCATGTCACAAAGTACATGTGTGTTTATTCATTTTCAATACCAAGTGAGCACATTCTGGACAGACAGTATAATTCTTTTTCTTCGTTCGCTTTTAAAACAGCAGTTGAGACACTGTTTTCAGATATATAGCTATGGTGTGATGTGACCAAGATATTTCAGCAAACCATTAACCCAGTCGTCTCCAACCTTTTTTTCAGGTGGTGCCCCCTTGAGCATATGGCCTGACCCTCCACCCTCACCCAATATTTTATTTTTTAAAGGAGGACAAAAAGAAAAATTCCAACAACTGTTAATAAAAACTTGGAGAAAAACATGCACATAAAACATTGTGTCAAATAAAAGAAGAAACAATCATCATAAATTGGCAAATTAGGTTCCAAATATCGAAGTGTTTGGTTTTTTCTTGGTCTGTGATGTTGGACAAGGCACAACGGAGATCACTCTCCACATCAAACTGACAACACTGTTTTGTTTTCATGACTATTAAAGCTGATTATTACAAGTACCGCTAATCTTTGAAAATTGGCAGCTACCCCCTTGAAACTCCCTCATTTGCCCCCCCCCCCTTTCCTGGTTGAAGACCACTGCCTTATCCAGTCCCCTTTGATAACATCTCTGTTGAGAGGCAGGGAGTGCATGTCTTTTCCTCAAAATCGAGCTTGGAATTCACACCTAGAAGACTTTAATAGAGTGCTCAGGGGTCAGAACTGATTTTTCTTGTCTTTTAGGACTGACTGGCTAATGTTCAACTGCTGTTCGCATGAAAACCTACTCCCCTTCAGCATTTTTAGGTCTCACCTGAATAATTTTATTTACCCGCCGCCCCCCCCCCCCCAAACCAAGTATAAGATTCATTTTTGCTCCAAAAGATGCCAGGGATGTCTTACTTCCTTTGGGGGGGGTGTATAAATTCTACATTATCCTTTACTTACAGCATTAGTGTCAATAATATAATTTATTAATAACTTTATAATTCTAAATGCTTATCATGCCTTTCAAAAGATGAATAAAATCAGACTGGCTGACTATCTTACTAAGGCTTATACTTGGGGTGGCTTTTTATTACAAAAATCCTTAAAAACTCATGCTAGGACCTCTTTTTTTTTTTTTTTTTTTTTTTTTTTTTTTGGATTAGGGCTTTTTTCCAAGTGGCTAACAAATATAATAACATATCAAAGAAAAAGCCACCAGAAAATTACGAAACAAGAAAGAAAAAAGGGGGAGGGTGGGGGGAGAGAAATAGAGAGGAGAGAGTAAGGAAATATACAAAAAATGGGAGAGGATGAAGAGGAGGCAAAGAAGGGGGAGGGGGCAGAGGGAGAGCGAGTGACAACAAAGTAAGGGAAGGAAGAGAGAAAAAGGAGAAGAGAGGGGTAAAATAGTGAAAGATCAAAGGAAAGAAAAAAGTGACAGAAGAGAAGGAAGACATGGTGTGGGTAAGAACACTGAGCGCCAAATTTCCAGTTTCTACCACCTCCCAATAAGAACTCTGCCATGGTCTATAAACAAGGGTGCATCCTTATCGCCTCATGCTTGTTGAGGTCTGTCAGCGTGAGAACTGCAATAGTTCAATTTCTTACAAAACTGGTGGACCTGGGAGCCAAGGTAATTTCAGAAAAAAGTTACGACCCCAACCCACTCATGACTTTCAAATCCGCAGGGGAACATCACGCCACAAGTTCAAGGTAAAAGTGGAATCCCGTTCGAATTCCTATTTTCCCATTTCAGAAAGGAGATGGGGGAGGTAGTGGAGGGTGGTGTTAAAGATATATGGAAAGGGGGAGACAGAGGAGATGAGAGGGAGAGAATAAAGCTTAGGGAAAGAAAGTCATGACCGAGACGGGGAGAAAGAAAGGAAAGCAGAATGAAAGAAATCGTGAGGCATGATCAGTACACAGGTGAATTTTTGGAGGTCCAAAGTGCCGCTCTGAACACTCAAACCTTGTGGTCAGAATGGACGCTGCTGT